TTATTCTGTACTAAAATTTTTCTGACTTCTGGTATATGATTTTTTAAGATAAAATGTTTTTCTTTTCAAAGAAAATTAGTTTCTGAACTTTGGCACTCAATAACTTTTGAGTTAATCGACCAATCTATGAATATGAATACATCAAATGAAAGCTTGATGTGTCCTCTTTCGATTAAGCTAATTTGCAGAAAAATGGTATCTCTGCTTTTAAAGATATAAATTATTTTGTAACAAAGAAAATTAGTTTTTGAACTTTGGCACTCAATAACTTTTAAGTTAATCGACCAATCTATTAATATGAATACATCAAATGAAAGCTAGAAGTGTCCTCTTTCGATTAAGCTAATTTGCAGAAAAATGGTATCTCTGCTTTTAAAGATATAAATTATTTTGTACCAAAGAAAATTAGTTTTTGAACTTTGGCACTCAATAACTTTTAAGTTAATCGACCAATCTATTAATATTATTACATCAAATGAAAGCTAGAAGTGTCCTCTTTCGATTAAGTTAATTTGCAGAAAAATGGTATCTCTGCTTTTAAAGATATAATTAATTTTGTAATGCAACCTCGTTTTTACAAATATTTGCTTTCCATTTTTAAAGAAAATGTGCTCTATACTATATAAAAACTAAGTATATTTAGAAAACCAAACATATTTTTTACTGTTATCCGTCTTTTATTTCATAGTTTTTAATTAAATAATAATGTTTTAATTAATTAAAATTTGAAATGACATCGTAATAAAAAATCGACGCTAACTATATTTTGACATTAAATTTCCCAAATTTATCATCAATGCAAATTAAACTGTTTTGCATTCACAAGTTAGCGTATAATTTAATTAATTTTATTTAATTTGTTAATCGAACAATATATATAATATTAGACATTAATTGGCTTAGAAAAATTCTAGTTTTTTGTTCAAATAATATCTTAGATGCAATAGTCTTAATAAAAATTCGACGCTAACTATATTTTGATATTTAATATCCCACATATATCATCAACGCAATTTCAACTGTTGTGCATGCCCAAGTTAGTTCACATTTAATTTAATTATATATAATTTGTTAATCGAATAAGATATATAATATTGTATATCAATCGTTTTAGAAAAAATTCTAGTTTCTTATTTTGATAATATCTTTGATGCAGCAAGTTTAATAAAAAATCGACGTTAGCTTTTCTTTTGCAGTACTATGGACTTATCAATAACTCTGCAACTGTACATTATGTTTTTCAGTGCCATTTTAATTTTTCAGCGAATTTAATTTAAGATGGTATGCCATCTATTAACCAACTTTGTACAGATTTTTTGAATAATTAATAAAATTAAATTAATTTCGATTTTTTTCAAATAATTGTGCTTATTAGAGTATTGTATTGAAAGTTATTTATATATAAACTGTTTTCTGACTTCTGGGATATGCTTTTTATAAGAAAAATGTCGTTTTTAAAGGAAAATTAATTTCTGAACTTTGACACTCAATAACTTTTAAGTTAATCGACCAATCTATAAATATGAAGACATTAAATGAAAGTTTGAAGTGTCCTCTTTCGATTAGGCTAATTTGCAGAAAAATGGTACCTCTGCTTTTAAAGATATAATTAATTTTGTAAAGTAACCTATTTTTACAAAATTTTATTTTCCTTACTTTGAAGAAAATTTTTTCTATATTATGTAAAGAGCGATTATATTTAGAAAAACAAACATATTTTTTATTGTTATAAGCTTTTTAGTTCATAATTTTTGGTCAAGTAACAAAGTTTTAATTAAATAATGTTTGAAAATGATATCTCTATTTTCATCGCAGTACTGCTCCTAAGTTAATCGAACAACCTATACAAAATTTTACATTATATGAAAGATAATTTTATCCTCTTTCGAATGAGCCATAAAAGAAAAAAATGGTACCTCTAGTTTAAAAGTTATTAATAAATTAGTGACCCCATCTTTTGGGGCTGATTTTTATTTTTCATTTTTCATACAAATTACATCATTTACACATAAAAGTTGAATGTAGATAGTAAATTAATTCAATTTTCTACTTAATAATGCCTTTTGCTGCATTAAATTTAATAAAATAATAAATTTTTCCTTAATTAAACTATACTGCATTTTTCATGCGGCGAAAAATGTTCCAATTCCATTTTGGACTTATCGTCGACGCTATCTTCACGCACATTTTCTAATGTCAAAAAACCAAAACAAACATCAAAATTTCTCAAAAAATGCTCTTATTTCAGCAAACATCGTGGTGAGTAGGGACGGGGTTGGGGAAAATCATCTCGAACCATTGTGTAGCATTATAGTTTTTCTTTTTGTACTGCGTGATATTTTCATCTCATTACACAAAATTTTGAATATTAATTTAATAATCCAGAAAATTTTATATACAATTTTTTGAATAACTTTCAGTTTCTTTTCTTTGTCTTCTTTGCATAATAGTATCAATATTAGACTTATTAAATAAATAATTAAGATGACCATATCGATTGGCCGAAATATTGGAATATGTATGTCTAATATTTTGCCATTATATTAAGTAAATCTAATGAAATTATTTTTAATAAAAATTTAAATGGACATCATGGCATACAAAAAAATCATTGAATTTGAACAATTTAATATAGTTAAACTTAACGTATTTAAATTTCTATGAATAACTGTGAAAACAAATTAAATATTTAAATTCATGGTCTGTTTATTGAAATAAAAGGATAATTGAAAACTGTATATGTTTGCTATCATAGTGTATGTTGATTACTTAATTTGTGTAATATTGAATAGTTTGAAATTAAATGCAAGTAGGAACTAAAATTTGTAAGACAGAAACGTTACCGAAGTAAGTTAAAATAAAAATTTAAAGGTTTACATAAATTTTTTACCATAAATTCACGAATTCTTCATTTTATTAATTGAAAATAAAACAAAAAAGAAAATAAAATTATCAAAAATAAAAATTTAAATTAAAAAATTAGGCACCACTAAATAGCATTTATATTTAATCACTTAATTAAACTTTGCATATGTTAATCTAAAATAAGTAAATACCCATTTATAACATTTATTTGATTAATATCTCTTAATACTGAAGCATGAAATAAGATGTATTAAATTTTTTTTATATATAATTTTACTGAAAACAATTTTACAATAAAACAAAATTTAATTATTTTAGGCATAATAATCAGAAAAAAGAAAAAACTTCCGTTTCTGTATTGAAATGCAATCGTCAATAATTATAAAATATGTTAAACAAATATGCCCAATAAAAAATATATATATATATTTACAAACATGCTACAATCTTAGTGATCAATTCAAATATTTTTAATGCATATTTTCGTGTTTTTTTTTTGAGTATAATCCTATGAATAGATAGTTTGTGTTTTGGAATAAACCATACTTATACTAAATTTTAAATATTTAACGAATGTTTTTGGCATACTTTTCCAATATAAATTAGTATATTTATTACTCTGGGTGATTAAGAGTACAAAGGTAACCTTTTATAATTTGTTATGAGAATCAAAACACTTGATAGTTTTTATATTTATTTATATATTATATAAATAAACATTTTCTGTCCATTTATAAGTATGTATTTGAAAACAGGATATTTTTTGTTAACTAATTTTGCAATCTTGTGATATATAATTTTTTAATGTCAAAAGTGACGCATTTAATGAAGAAAAAAAAAACTTTTTAAAAGTTAGAAAAGTTCATATAGAAATGAAAAGACAACAAAAATTTTTTTTATTAATGAAAAAGAAATAAATCATTAAAAACTTGAAACAAACAACGAAATCACTGAAAATTCAAAATAAAATAAAATAAAAATAAAATAAATATTTCTCAACAGCTGTTTAGTTTGTACACAAAATTCGAAACTAATACGAATTTAAATTCCAATATAAAAATATTGTTAATCTTTAGTTAGTGTAGACGGCTAGTTAGAAAAGGTTATTTTGAACCTATACTAAATTCCTTATTTATGGAAAAATTAGTTTTGCTTTAAATAGTTTCTTTATATTATTTTTAAAATTCTTTTATTGTTAATATGTAACAGTAAGATATTATGTATATGTATTAAACAACTATATACAAAAATTTCATTAACATTTTTGTTTTCACTACTCTTTCAGTGGTTTTCAGTGTTTTAGAGTGTTGTTTATCTACTACTACTACTCTTCACCCATTGAAATGAACACATGTCAGCAGATCGCTTGCACCAGCTGTATGTTCTGACTACAGAATGGCCGTAATGTTGGAATTCATACATTTTTAATAAAAAGCGGCAAGAAAATTGTTAAAAGAGTATATAAACAAAGGAAAATGCCATTCGGCAGCTGAGTTGGCCGGAAAGTGTTGGAAAAACATATTTGTCGTTAATAGTAAAGTAATAAAGTGAATCAAGAGTTATTTATATAAAATCGGCAATTAGTAAATATTATCATTGCAGGTTATGTTCCCGAAGGCTTTATTTAATAAATTTTTGTATTATACCGTCATTCCAGCAACATAAACCAGCCCACCGTTTGTGTTACCTACAGAGCATGCTTGCCCGTTTATACCGTTTACTTTGGCATATATTCTACCTGTATGTATGCATACGAAATATATTAAAGAATGTAAAATTGCGACTGCAGGCTTTGACGTTGTGGTCATATGACTTTTGCAGAAGTCAAGTGTCAATTGAACGACGAAATTACTTGTTTTTCCAAAAGCATAAAACGAAGCTTACTAAATTACCAACGCACTTAAATATAATAATAGGTCCTGAAAATCGTGATGTTAACGAAAAGGTGCTAACGCGAATTTTTAAATATGCGCTACAAATGAATATAAGTTACATCAGCTTTTATGACACGCGACCCATTGATGCAGGTCATGTGAATATGAGAAAAATAGACACGCCGAAGCATATACATAGTGAGGAACTACATAAACATCACTTAAAGTGGACAGTATTAGATCCTAATGCGCACGTAAACGGCACAACCTTGAATGGGAAAATTGTGCTGAATGGCAGTGCCAAACATAAATTATCAAATGGTGCAATAAATGGCAAAAGCAATGGTGTTCACAAACCACAAAGGATGACAGGACATACTATTGAGGTAAGGTAGTCAAAAATATATCAATTACTAAAACAGGAAATATTTTCATTTGCGATGTTTTCAAATTCATTATCACAAAGTAATTAACATTATCTCATCACCATCCATGTCGCCTCATGTATTGGTAATTGTTTTATTTCTATTTTCAGTTTGAATTTGAATTTGAGCTTGATTTGCTCTTATCAAGTAAAGTGAAACGCGGTTGTTAATGCATGCTAATATGAAAATTTTGTGCAAACTTTATAAAAAAATTAGTAACTAAAATTTAAAAACTAAAGTCAAGTCAAATCAAGAATGAGTCAAGTGAATTTTAAAGCTGTTGTGTTTAGTTGAAAAGTCTTCATGGAAAATCATATAACACTAGGACAAATAAGCAGTAATTGTAAGCAGTTATATATATTTTTTACTCTGTTTTGTATAATGCTATGCTAAGTTAATGAAAAAGCAAAATGTTTTGGAACTCACCAAATCCAATGCAATTTTCGAGTTGTATTGCTTCTAAAACTTTTACTCTTATTTGTGTTTTCTATAATTGTTATTCATAGATGTTGGTTGAACGCCCTTAAATAATTCATTCACCATTATTGCAGCTACCTCAGATGCAAAGAATTAGTCAAGTTTAGGATTTTATTTAATTTAAACGTAAGAGCTGTTACTACTACAGACAATATTTAAAAATAAAATTGCGTTGAAAGTAAGGTGAGGCATATGTATTCTGTGCCAGGCTCCTGCTAGTAATCATTACAAGTAAAAATTTGTTCTACAATAACGTATCTATACACCAACATTGAAGGTGACTTTTTTCTCCAATTTTAATTAAATGTAGTGTCTGGAAGATTTGAAATTATTTATATTGGGAATTTATATTGCTTTCATTGTAAAACTCTAGTAGTAAATATGGTAAGACGTGTTCTCTTCTTTATCATATATTTCAGAAGGGATTTTCCAGCTGTATACTTAAGACACATTCACACCAAAGCGAACGTTTGCGAACAAACGAACTTTTGCAGATACCATTATAGCTGGCTTTTTTTCTTAGTTTAAGTGAAATTGTATTCGATTGTTGGCTTATTTGCTATAGTTTTTTTACAAATCATGCTCATTAATGCAGTCATTTAACATATTTATTAGTTGATTAATACCATTAACCATTTTAAATGAAATTCAATATTATTTTTCAGATCTTTAAAATAACAGACTATGCAGGCCGTAATCTTTTGACTGAGGTGTGTCGAGATCTTTTTAAAATACGACATACACAAGAAATACAAGAACTGTTAAAAGATCGGAATAGTTTAATGGATCGTATTAATATCGAACTGTCCAAGCGTATGCATGGCTTGCCAGATCCTGAATTAAGTTTAGTATTTAATGAGCACACGTGTAGTTACGGCATGATGCCTTGGCAAACACGCTTCACAGAATTCCATACACTAAATAGTCGGCAATATTTTAATGAAAGCGCATTCATGAATGTGCTCTATAGATACTCCCGATGTGAGCAGCGGTGGGGTAAATAGTTGTTTAGGTACCAAATTTTGCAAGTATTGCAAATGGGTGAACAAAGTTATTTAGGAGTAATACATAATTATAGTTAATATTTAATTACCTTTTATTATTATTATTTTCTTTTTTTTTTTTGATATTGTAAAAAAAATAATTGTGTATACATATATGGTTTACTTCATTTATGCTAATTTTTATGTATGATGTTTTAGTTTCACTGTGTATTTTATTTAAGTTTAATTGGTTTTATTTTTTGGTTGAATTATAATATTGTAAATTATATAAGCGATTTCGAAATAAGACTTTCAGACATTGAGCCTAAATATAATTATAATTGTATATATACTTATAATATATGAATACATGTGCATCCTGTGAATAATATTAAAACAACTAAAAATATTAAGAAATATGTAGAGAAAAAAACAAAAAAAGTATATATGTAAAATGTCGGAGAATTTCTGCATATAAGAACTGTTTATATGTTATTTAATATTTACGTACATATATTGAAAAAGCTAATTTTTATATTGTAAAGTTGCAATGTTATATCAAATCCACTTTTTATATAAATAATGTTGATTAGGTGTGGATGTATGTATATTATGTAAAAGACAAATATTGTAATAAGAAATAATATTAAAAAACATATATTGTGTGCTGTGGAATTGCGGCGGACCTTTACAATTTTAGTATCCAAAGCAGTTATAATAATGAATTAAATAAAAGGATTTATGGAATAAGAAAATTCTGTAAAAATTCACTTTGACTTAATACCAAGTTTATGAGTATGCTGGAGAGAATTATATTGGTACAGCTGTTGTTGGACCATTATTCCAAGTTTTTTTTCTAAAGTTATAAATATTATATCCGTTTTGTTAACATTGCGTCAGAGGTTGAATGAAATAGATGAAATTTGAATTAAAAGTATAAAATATATAAGAAATAGTAAAGTGAAAAGGTATGGATGCGGTGAAACAAATGAAAATTCTTACAAAAACGGCTTGATCTACTTTCCAGAGCCACTCGTCATGATCAATTTAATATTAAATTATATTTAATATTAATCTCTACTAACACAGAAAGATTTTTAAAATGAATTAAAAAAAATACGGATTAATGTAGGAAAAAATAAAGTTTTTAATAAGCAAGAAAATATAGTTCAAATATAAATATGAAATACTAAGCCAGACTAAGTCATTTCCTAAAGCAAAAGCACGATGTGAGTTGAAAAAGTTTCTGAAGCACCACTAGTAGAAAAAAAAATTTTTTTATATAAAAATGTGTTTAAATTTTAAGCCCAGAAAATTTAGCCACTATGATTTATACCATACACTATATTCTGACGGTATTGCACACGTTCTGTGCAAGTGACGATCTAATCCATGATAAAATTATCAACTCTGTAGCTGAACAGTGTGTCTTCAGAGATCCAGGCAACGAAATTATTAAAATAAAAAAATGATTGGGTAGGTACTTTAGCAATTACTGCTGCCAAGTCAACCCAGGCGTAGAATTAAAAAAGAAAATAACAAAAACAGATTTATAGCAGAGAGAGACTACAATGCAAAACATGTGCAGTGCAGGTCATGCTTAACGAGTCACAACAGCAGCCAATTGCTTGATGCAATACGAAGCTATAGGTTATCCAAATTTTCATTAAGGCAACTAACGTATTGGCCAACTGATCTGAATAAAATACCTGATTGTTCAATTTATTAATATCCTACGATTTGATATGCTACTTATGTACATAATTAAAATAAACTAGATAGATTTTAAGTAATTGGTTACGACGGCACCTCACATTAATTTTGACTCAAATGAGGTAATGGCATATAATAACTCTAGAAACTGAACTTTTTATATTTTGTTTCATTAAAATATGGAACCTTCGTAGCATTTATATGTAGGATCTATATATAAATGTATTTTTTAAGCTAACATCTACATGTGTTGATTCAGCAGATATGGTTGAAAGGGAGATTTAATATCCTAACATCGTAGAGCCTTCCCATCCTTTATTAAGAAGTTCGAGATTTGTGAATTACTTTACAAAAATTTATTTATGGTGTTGCAATACATTCTTGTTTTCAAGTGTAAAAACGGAAGAATTTGGTGCATCGTACACTAGTGAGCAAATTGCCGAGTAAAAAATAAAAGTGAACAACTAATTTGCATTATTTAATGTAATTTATGCAAGGGTTAGTCTAAAAATGTTAGATTAGGCCTATGTGAATTCAACGACCCTCCCGACTGCATGAACGGTATGGCTTAGATACACTCCAAAGCTGATGTTCCAGAACTGATATTCTTAATATTCCACACTCTACAGTCCCTGAAACCACGATGTCTACTTAACTGTCTACTTAAATACTTAAACTGCTGAACCGATTGGGAATCAATGATTAACCTAACATATGAAAGTGTCTCCGAAAAAAACTATACGACCTATATGATGATGTCAATATCATAGCACTTTACATAAAATAATATTTTATGCGAGATTTTCACACTTTCCTGCCATAAGCGAAAAACACTTTAATTAATCGAACTCATGAATAATTATTTTTCCAAAGTATAATTAAGTTTATTATAGCGCGAGCTTTTTATACTTTTTAACCTAATTAACGCTAATTTTCAAGTTTATCAGAAGAAAAAATAATTATGTATGTAATACTTCGAGCTATAATCAAGACTATAACCATAATTAGACATCATTAAAAGTTTCATAAATAAATAATAGCTTTAAATTAAATACAATGTACAGATAGATACAGTTTTTCAGACAATTAAAATTCAAAGGCCAAGTCTTTTAAAATCTAACTAGTTGAAAGTGGCAGAAGTTAAGTAATATTTTATCATATGTGTATAAATTACATATAAATCACATCATTTATAAAATGATGTGTGAACGTGTTTCTAAAACATCACATAACGAGTCAAGAAGAAAAGAACGAAGTTGCTTCTTTCGATAAACCCTGAAAGACTCATTATAATTTATATTTTATAAATTATTATTAAAACCTTAACAATAGTTAAACAATTTGAAACGAATGAAGTATATTAAAAGTCAGTCAAAAGATCTTAAATTACTTTTTAGAATTCCCTTGATTTTGTTCAATTTCATTTTTGAATAGAAATAAATTTGTGATTTCTCTATAAACCAAATAGAGCTCTTTGATCATTTCTCTTGTCCTATTAACTTCAATATCCAAATTTCAAAGTGTTTTTTGACTTCATGGATTGTTTTCTTCGAAATGTTACCGTAGATTCCACTGCTGTAGTTTGAGACTTGTTTAGATGGTTCAAATCGTTCTGATTTGACAGAACATCTCTCATATTGTTCACAATAATTTCTGTACCCTCTTCATCATAAGGTCTTCCGAATACCGGTCCAATGATTAAATAAGTTGTCATTGCCTGTGGGCACCCCTAATAACCCCTAATATTTATAACTATATGCCCCTTTTTTATTTCATTGTTGTGTAGATGACTGCTTCTATTTGATGTGTTAAAGTTGACCTCTCTTCATAAGTAAGATTGATTTCTTCTATAACATATTTTAAGTGGTGTATTTTAGCGACTTTAGCCTAGCCTCCCAAACTCCTCTGAAGTAATTGGCTGCCGGCGGAATAAAATATTACCTTATTAATAGTAATAATTGTTTAGTATAATTTGTTAATATAATATCGTATATATTTTTTAATTTAATACAATTTAAATATTTTTATTATTTACATGTTTAAATTTCAATAGAGTAAATTTATTGCTTATTTGTTACTAATTAAACATATGATCTATCTATATAGTATCAACATACATATTGTAACCCTGTTCATGTGAGCTTTTTGTGCTTAATATGATGCTCTAAATACAAATCTTTGGTTTTTTTCTCAATTTTATTCCGATTGTTGTTGTAATTAGTCCGTGTGCTACATTAAAATAGCTCGTATGCGAAACATTAATTTTTTTAGAACAAAATCGAACAATAATAATAATTCTTCTAAAGAGCATCTTTAATACTACCAGGAACACTTCTGAGAATAAATAGCCAATCGCTTCCAAACGAATCGCTTTCTCGCTAGATATAAAAGCTGCTAGATAACCTTTGAATGTCTTGAGTCCTCTTACTTTGAAGCATTGTTTCCTTTTTATAGAAAACACTGGTGTTCTTAAGATCATTTTTTGAATTATTGTTGTATTGAAAGTTTTGTCTAATACTGGTTATAGACTCTTCCATTGCATAGAATTTAGTCTTAATGTCATGTCCCTTCCAAACATTAAATTATCTTTGGATTTTAATTTCAGTTTACTTTTGTCATTTTTTAATTTGTTGTTTCAATATATCTTCTCAGAGTTGATTCCAGTGACAATCGATTCTGGTGCTCCTGAGTCTGTTCTTGATATTACTCCTAATGCTGTTTTTTATGCTGTTTTTGATACTTTTACAGATGCAGATTCTGACGATTTTATTTGGTTAATTTTTCAACATAATTTTTATATTTTTCCTTAGCCTCCTCGTACATATCTTTGTTAAAATAATCGTGTTCTGTTTGGCTTCTATACCAACATCTCCAAATTATTTGCCATTTGGAGAACATGAACAACATAAACACTTGGTACTGTCTTATTTGGAATTTTTTTTCCCCCTGCAGTGAAGGGGTTAGAATATTCCCGCGGTACGCATGCCACGCCGACACTTTTGTATTTGTATTGTATTTGCAAATCCGATATTGTATTTTTAATAATCATTCATAAATTGTATATAATTTATTTTAAACTAGTTTTTTGAATTGTGTTTTTATAAAATATAAATAAATAAGTGTGCATAGTAGTAAGTGCCCGACTTGCGACACTTGACCAGAGGTGTAATCTAGTACCTCGACACTTGACCAGAGGTGTGATCTAGTACCTCGAGGTATCTCGTGGGTCAGCGGCCGCTGCTTTAGTAACATTTTACTAACGATATGACGTTGGGAATGCTTATAAACGCTAAAAAACTTTATTGATTTTAGGCTCGTTCCAATTTGAGTAGACTGTGTTTTTAATATATTTTTCAAGTTTTTTGTTCATTTATTCAAAGGCTTTATATTTTACATAATTTCGTTCTT